TCCATCTCAGTATCTCTTTCTCTGTCTTACTACCAGCCCCTCCTTGTCACCACCACTCCCGCTCTCATTTCTCTTTCTCTCGCTCTGAAGACACTCTCTCTCTCTCAGAAGGATCGAAAAGAAAAAGAAGAAGGCCCATTTCCCGCTACTGTTGTTTTTGAACGCCAATTGATCTCTGATCAGACTATTTTTTGCACGCGCCGACCTCTCTCTCTCTCTCTCTCTCTGGTAAACACCATCTCTCCTGTTGTCTCGTGTTTATGTATCAATAGCACCAGAAAATGTTGGGCATGTGCTCCAACTCTGTTAACTGTATGCTGACAACAGAGACGCAATCCGGCCTGTAAGCTCCTGAACCGTGTCTTATCAAGTAATTCAAGCCACTCAACGCTAGGACGAGTTTCAGTTTCCCGACGCATAGTAAGAATACAGTACAACAGCCGTATCATATTATTTCATATATATTATATGTGTGCTGTTGAGCACATTGTAATTGTTATTAATCACTTGAGCAAGTCTGAGGAACTGTCTACCCCATGTTTTCTTTGTGTCGACGCCCCTAGTGCCATTGTATTCTGCCAGGCCGGAGCAGCCAATCCGATGATAGTGTCCGATAGTCCCCTCTGGACTTGAAAGTGACGTAACGTTTCGTAACTATGTCCACATTCGGAATGGGGGCAGTTAACACATTGTGTGGCCATCTCTTTTGTGCCGTGTGAATTCGATTTGGAGGAATACAAGAAAGTTCTGAAGTGTGTTGTTAATTGTATTAATAAATTACGGATTCCGACTGTGTTTATATGCTTAGAAGGACGTTCGATGTGCAGACTTAGTAAAGGTAAAGTCGGGAGATGTGAACCAGCGTCATTGCAAACGGTTATAAACCATAAGTGCTCTGTCATCAGAACGGACAGCTGATAAGGAATTGTCCGCCTGTGTTGCCGTTCGTACGTAACTCCGTAGCTACAGTTCCTCCATTTACCCCAGAGTGTCAACTCTGGTACCCATTTCCTAGAGGCTGGGTGAATCACGGAAACCGCCCGGTTTCGAACACCGACCATCGGCTGCAATGTGTCGGAGCTGGATTTGAAAGCGAGCCTCCTGTCGGCTGCGCTAATACGTAGTGTGAGTCTCTGTAAGGTTGCGTGTAACTGACCAGCATCTCGACCAGCTCCAAGCTGGTGCTGGGCCTGTAACTGACATTGCCGATTTCCGAGAACGTTCTGTAGTGTGTTCTTGAGTTCATCTGTTCAGTACGGATAGCGACTGTGTTCCGATACCTAAGAGAACAGTGTATATATAATAAACAAACAAGTATTGTATTAATGGGCACTCATAGAAAGAAGTAGAAAGATAGAGGGACACACTAAACAACATAAAAATAGAAGTTATAGTTACCGTAGCGGAAATCGAATCTGTCACCTCAAAATGGCGTGTGCACCTCGCTATGGAAACAAGTGTTAAGAAGACAACCAGCTAGTCACCCCTAATAAAGATGTCTTCATTTGACATGTCTATCGTACAGCTTGAAGTCCACAGCTATGGCATACGGACAAAATTCATCTCAAACCATTGAAATGGCACCATAGGTTACATACATTTATATTAACCAAGCATAGGTCGAAAAAAAAAAAAAACACAGCAACAGTTTACGAACACAGTATTCAGTAATGCTTTGTCAAGAATACACAAATATTTAAGAGATTTTATTGGTAGTTCCCATTGTGTTACACGTCATTCACGTAAATAAACATGGGAACCCTTGTTTATATATGTAAAAAGAACAGCGTAATACAGTGCCATGCCCCCCCCCCCCCAACCCATGTAACTTTAAACTCTGGACGAGTCCATTTTCGAATACCCACCCCCCCCCCCTTTTTTTTTCTCCTTTTAAGATCAAATTGCCCCCTTAAAAATCAAATTGTCTCTTTAACCATCTGAAAATTGCCTGAGATTGGGAGACATTGTTTTAATGTGTCTTGGATTTGGTCGATTGGTCATTGTTCCCTCACAAGATTTCCGTTGGTGGGATTAACACGCATGGATGAGATTCAGACTGGAGCAAATCACATAAATTCAGAAATCATTCAGCCGTATAACACAGTTCTGTTAGGGCAGCCCTGTGCTCACAAAGTACGCTGTAGTCCACTGTACAGGTGTTGCTTGGACCTGTTTGGATTTCCGCGCTGAATCCTTCATTGTTTGATGACTTCTTTTTCGTCGTTGTGGTTTCTCTTATTGTTCGTCCACTTCTGTGCTAGTTTTGTTCAAGAACCCGAGTTAAGCGCGCATATCCGTTTTTACAGATCTGGCTTATGTGTATGCAGACTGCTGCTTTATAGCATCTTAGGCAGATGCTCTCCGATTTCGAAGGAAACCCCTAAATAAATTAGTCAACTCTTACGACATGCTTGTCAGAGAGGCAGTGGGTATATTCTTTCCTTTTTTTTCCTCCACAGTGGGACTCGCTAACCCACACGGGGAGTTGCGGTTCAAGACTCTTGTCTTAATTGTTACTCCGATTTTTTGCCGAAACGTTAAATTACGTATGTGCACACATTTCCTGTTCACTTAATTGTCCTCCCCAAGCATAGCTTGTGTTGTGTAAATGAGTTAATGAATTGAGATTGGAGAATATTAGACAGTTGTGAAGCGTATTGTCGAGTTTATTAATATATAACGGGTAACGACGGATGTGCTCAGATGCGCGTTTTTCTTGCGGTAATATTATGTATTCTGCTGTATTATTGATATAAAATATGTTTCTAGATGGAATACATTTATGATGTGAGAGAGAAGTGCTTTAAAAAGCCGAATTTAAGACATGGCTGAGTGATGAATTTGTGACCTTTAAAACAAAACGAAAGTTCGTTTGTTTCTCTATTTCTAATTGGATTATGCAGGAGTATTGTTAAGGTACCGTAATGAATCCAAGAAATATTTATTGGCGCCTGCTACAAGCACGTCATATATGAATGTGTGTCTGATGTTGCCCTGTGGTAGTCAGGCAGACATGAAATCTGACAGCAGCTTTGTGAGTTTGCCTCGGCAGCTCCAGGACAGTGGCTTTCTGGATCATCGCGGCAGTGTGGTCTCCTCCATTTCCTTGCCGACCGGTAAAGTAACACGCCCGGTGTTTTCTCCCAGTGGACGACGTCACTCCAAAGGATATCGAGACGGAGTAGGGACTAAATTGTCCATATTAGGTATACCTTACTGGTGGTTGTTCGGGGTATATTTATTCCAGTACTTGTTGATGTCAAATGATGTGGTTGCTTGAAAACACCGCCCATCCCCGTAAAACTTACTTTCCCCTTTATGATTTCCGGGATCCTCTTGTGTGGGTGTGGTAGGGGGGGGGGGGGGGGGTCAGGAGAGAATTGATGATCCGCCCCCCCCCCCCATATAAACATGTCGTAAAAGGCGCAACTATTTCCTTCAGAGTCGGAGTGCATCTGCCCGAGAGGCCAGGAATCAACAGTCTGCGAACAGATAAGCCAGATCGGTAAAACGAAGTGGACGAACAACCATAATTTTGTGGCGGAGTTTACAGCCGGTAACTTAGTCCTGTCAATTTCTTGATGTTGTCATTAAATGACGCATTCCAAGAAGAACCTGGAATGACAACATCAAGAAGTGGACAGGACTATGTTATCATACATTTGTTTATCCATCGAAAGAGAGAGAACGATGGCGGGTTTTGTTTGCTAGTGCTTTAGTCGATACAGCTCCACGACCCTAGCGGGTCAAGGGTTATGTCACAGCCTGTGAGCGCTATGTATGAATCAGAAGGGGGAAAAAGAATACGTTCTCCGGCTGGCTAGGAAGCACCACTATATAAAAGACACCTAGAGAAAAAAAAAGACACTTTTTTAAATAGTTTTGTCGAGACATTGGCATTTTTCCCAACGTTTATAACTTTTGCTCAAATTTCTAGTTCTATTTTGTGTGTGTGTGTGTGTTTTGTTGTTGTTGTTGCAATTATCCCACAGTAGAGACCCAATAACACTATTTGATACTATCATATTGTTGCTAGATGCTTTGAGAGAGCACGTTTTGATTTATTGGTGTCACATGCATATCTACAACTGTTAAGTTAATCTCGCTTGCTTAATGAAGATTAACTGTTTTCGTTGGGTCAGCTCTCGCCGTTTAAATCTTCTTCTTCGCGTTTATCGGTTGAAAACTCCGGCGGATGGTTCTTGTTGTTCGTTCACTTCTGGACTGTAGTCCTGTTCCAGAAACTGAGTGTTACGTGCACATCCTTTTCACAGATCTGACTCATCTGCATACAGACTGTTGGTCCCTTGCCTCTCAGGCACATGTACTTCGAATTTGAAGGAAACTCCCAATTAGTCGACTCTTGCGACCTACTTTTGGGTAGTTTAAAGCTGTTCTTTTATAAGTACAGATCATAGCTTCCAGAAAATGTACCAAACCTCAAACATGTATATGTGCAAATATGTATAATTATTTCCTCAGTACAGATGGGAACCAGAGTAAGATAAATTGGCGCAAACCCCCCCCCTTCTCTCTCTCTCTCTCTCTCTATCTCTCTCCCTCTCTCTCTCCCTCTCTCTCTCTCTCTCTCTCTCTGTGTGTGTGTGTGTGTCCCTCCCTTGCCCAGTGGCGCAGCAAGGTCAGGTTGTACACGGTGATGAAAATTTATTGTCTCTCTGTCTCTCTCTGATCTATCTTTCTTTCTAATCTCTCTCTGATCTCTCTCTCCCGAATCGCCCTCTGAACTCTCTCTCTCTCTATCTCTCTCGCTGATCTCATCTCTCTCTCTCTCTCTCTCTCTCTCTCTCTCTCTCTCATCTCTCTCGAATCTCTCTCTGACTCGCTGATCTCATCTCTCTCTCATTCTCTCTCTCACTCTCTCTCTCTCGCGCGCTCTCTCTCTCTCTCTCTCTCTCTCTCCCTTTTTCCCTCTTTCACTTTTTGTTTCTAGTTTGGCCTACCATTTCACATAACCCCATTTTCCTGTGTTTTTTCCTCAGACATCCGCCAGCAGTTAAACGATCAGCTGAAATGCCTGGAAGTCAAACTGGAAACAGAGGTGTCCATTGTGACCGAGCTGCAGGAGTTCTTCAGGCGCCGAGCAGAACTGGAGCAAGAGTACGCGCGGAACCTGGACAAACTGGTCAGAAATATGATCACCAGGCATCGGGCGGAGAAAAACAGAAGTGAGTACCCAACATAGATCGTTAATTGCCTCCAAGTCTCCAGTCTGAAAGATTAAAATCCAGTGACTTGAAAAGCCACCATAGCAGAGGTTCTCAACCTGTTGGTCGCGACCTCTTCGGGGGCCGAGCGAGCATTTCACAGGGATCGCATAAGACCGTTAGAAAACACATATTCATTGAATTTAGGAAGTAGCAACGGAAATAATGTTATGATTGGGGGAACTGTATTAAAGGGTCGCGGCATTAGGAAGTATGAGAACTACTGCACTATATGAATGAGAATTCATGAAACACCCATCAACCGTATAATAGTAATATTAGGGCACCCTACCGTTACTCAATAATGTTTGTTCCTCAGAGTAAATTATTACAGTAATAATAGCTCTGATATCCTGTAGGGTTTTCTCACAGGTTCCCCCCCCCCCCCCCCCCGTTTCTGTCCTTATGTTTTTTTTTTCTTCTAGGTCCTTTCTTCATTAAGTCTTCACTGTCATAATTTGGGATTGGTCTTTTCCCAAGTTAATTTAAGATTTGATCTTTAGCCAGGAATTTTATTGTTTCTTTTTGTCTTTCTCTCCCGCTCTTTCTTTCTTTCTTTCTTTCTTTCTTTCTTTCTTTCTTTCTTTCTTTCTTTCTTTCTTTCTTTCTTTCTTTCTTTCTTTCTTTCTTTCTTTCTTTCTTTCTTTCTTTCTTTCTTTCTTTCTTTCTTTCTTTCTTTCTTTCTTTCTTTCTTTCATCCTTGCCTCATTCCTTCATTCATTTCTATGTATTTTTAATGCATGTTTCTAATTTTCTTTATTTCCTAATTAGTTTTTTTTTTTTATTACATTTCTATCTGTGTGTCTTGTGGCTCTATTGTGGCTGTCTTGTGGCTCTCTTGTGGCTGTCTTGTACCCCAAAAAGCTATGTACAATCAGACCAGTTCTCCTGGGCATGGGCAGGCCTTGCTTTTACTGCCATGGCAAGACATTAGTTGATTGTGAAAGGATAGTTACAGCACATCTGAACCTTAGTTACATCTTCCTATTGCTGCTCTCCATGGATCTACAAATCAGTTTTCAATTTTTCATCTCAGTTTGTTTACTTTCTATCTGCACTTGTTCCAGTGTGGGTTGCGGGGCTCTAATTCTGGTTGGGGTGGGGACGACCAGGTTTAAAAGAATAGATTTACTTCCCCTAACAAGCATTTCCTAAAAAGCAGCTAATTAGAAGTTTGCTGATACTGTATATGTTGCCTAGCTTTAAACCACAATACAGTGCGCCAACCGCTTTTAGTGACTTGCGCAGAAGAAAAGTATTATAGGTATATATTCCCCAGCTTAAATTCTTGTGCCTAGTTAAACTTGTGGTGGCCTGGAAACTCAGATTAGATTATTCCGTTTAATTTGTATCCCTCCAGATTTGCATTCCGCAGGAATTAACATCTGAAGGATGAGAATCATACAGGTACAAATCCCATAAACCCTGTTCAACCATATAGACATAAAGCAATAGACATAAAGCAATAGACATAAAGCAATAGACATAAAGCAATAGACATAAAGCAATAGACATAAAGCAATAGACATAAAGCACATTTATATTGGGGCACTGCAGCACTTTTATGAAATAATCTGTAGTGTGAGTGGGTGTTTGTAGATTGTTTAAAATGTTTGCCTTGAGTTAAGTTTGAACACAAGATCCACCAGATCCAGAGTAAGCAGACTAGCCACAATTCTGTCGTGGCACCCACGAGGTTTTACTTGAGAGAGAAACAAGAAGGTTTAGAAAGTTGAGAGGGCGGGAGCCGGAGGGGGGGGGGGGGAGAGAAACAGAAAGAATTTTGATCTTAACCTCTGACGAAACATCTGCCTGTTTGGCACAGTGTAACACAGAAACAAAGAAAGCTAAGGGAAGTAAATATGATACTGTTGAGATAAGGATGATCTGTATATTTGTTCCTGGTTTGCTTTGGTTTCCTCTTCTCAGTGGATGTTCTTCCTTCTGCTTTTTCACATTCACTGACTGTAAACTCCAGCGGAAAGTTCTGGGAAAGATCTGATTGTTTGTCCACTTCTGGACTGAAGTCTGGTCCAAGAATTTGAGTTTTGTGGACACATCTGTTTTACAGATTGGCCTATTTACTTATCTGTATGCAGACTGTTGGTTCCTCACCTGTCAGGCAGATTTTAAAAAGAAATACCCTAAATTGATCACCTTTTACCACCTGCTTGTGGGTTGTGGGTGGGTGGGTGGGGGGGGGGGGGCAGTGGATTTATTCTTTGTCCCCCTAAAATGAAATGGGACCTCTAAGCCCACATGAGACTTTGTTATATTTTATTGCTACACTTTTGTGCACCTGAAAAGTTATAGCAAAATATACCAGGCAATATACAGTGCAATCTTTTGTTTATGTCTTTTTATTTGTTTGTTTATATTTGTTCTACGTCAAGTTAACACTTTTGTGTTTTTTTTCTTTGCATACAATTTTAAATTTTTTTTTATTTTGCCTCATTATCATAAACAGTTTGCACAGGTTAATCTTTTTATATGAAAATAACCCGTACACTGTCATTGTGGTGTTGAACACACCCCCATCAAGGTGGTCGGTAGAAATATCTATGCCCTACATCTGCTTAAATCAAATGCTCTGTCCCACAACACGAAGATGACAAAACGTAAAACACTGATAAGACCAGTTGTCCTCTGTGGCTCTGAAACTTGGAGTACAACTAACAGAAATGAAACATTATTACAAACTGACCATGAATCTTTGGACCAGTCTGTTTACATTGTCACTAATTACTGGCATTATCAGGGCTAATAGATGGCAATGGTTGAGGCATATGGTGAGAACGGCAGAGAACAAGGTTGCAAAAACTGTGTGCAAAAAAAGTTGAATAGGTGTAGTAGACCACAAAGCAGAATATTAAGATTGTGTAGAGGGGTGCTGGGTTCAATCCCAGCTGCTGGCCTTGCATTGGTTTCAACAGTGGTATCAAGAAGCCGACCATCCAGAAACCAATGGCAAACTACTGGACGTGAATTTGCCTTGAAAAACCACAACAGCCAAAAAATGCTGGGGTTGGTTCTGCAATGTCCTGTAAAGGATACACAACTAACTTTAGAGATAAAATACAGGCAGGGATCCAAACACTTGGAGCTGGTGACTGTATAGAGAAGACCCGTCACAGACGTGAGTGAAGACAGGTGATTTCTGCAACAGTGAACATCAGAGATATTGAAATACTAAAGAATAGATGTTGTAAACTATTTGGTTAGTTAGTTTAGTGTTTGATTTTGGAGTAGAGCCTTTGGTGATTAGGCATGTGTGTATTATTTGGTAATGGAATACATAGTATTTGGTAGCTGTGTACATTATATGATATTGCAGTAATAGAGTATTCAACAATTGGCTGCAGTCTTTGTTAACTGACACAAGTTTTTAATTAATTTGGTACAATATATGAAAAAGCACTATTTTTTCGGTAACAATACAATATTGGGTTTTTACACTAGAAAATGTTTTCGGAAGTGGGATATAGCATTTGATATTTGGGTAGACTGGCACAATGGTTATATTGCGCTATGAGGAGCCATGGGACTCACAGCCCATGGCTATGGTGAGTGTGTCGAGCAAGACCTGCCCGAATTAAGAAAAGTCTTCCACAGTTATGACGTGAGATTTGGGTACAATACATGAAATGATCACAACAAAATCATAGGGGGAAAAACACCTTGTGTAATTAGGTTGATCTTTTCGATTTTAAAAGTTAAATCTTTAAACATCTAATAATTAATAATTAAATTAGCTGGTAATGAAAAGTAATATTTGGATATGCTGTAAAAAAAAAAAGAGTTGATAATGAATTATGATTCTATATTACAACATTTGTTTTAACTGACATTAATATCATGTTTACCAACGTGTTCTGTTGAATCAGGGGTAGGGCTATGTGAGTACTTTTCTCTTTCTCAAATAGTCTGACTGACATGTGTATGATCGGCTGTTATCACATATTTTATATTACATCTTGAAACATGTATTAAGTACATGCAAGCCTGAGTTCACACTCTACTGGAGTATTAGCAATGAAATGTATGATTGGTTTTTTTTCTTAGTTCTCACTTGAGCAGAAATCTTGCCTAGACAAATATACCTTTGATTTTGTCCAAATGCTTGCATTCAATTCACCACTATTCCACACTATTCTTGAATGTTTGTAGATAATTTTAAGATTTCATTGCATCTTGTTTTGTTTTGATTTGGGCGATGAACAGAATATTAAAAATAAGAATTGTCAATGTTGTAAAGTTAACTCAATTCTGTGACGCATGAAGGTTGGTCAGTGAACAATCAGTTAACAAGTAGAATTGAGACCCTACAGAAACATCTCGTATTGCTGGTATCAGTGGTTATAAGAGAAGGAGGCTGGCAGTCTATTGGGCACATCGAGAGGGATGCTGGACACAAGTCACAGGACAGGTGACGAAATGGAAAACACTTTTGATGAAACGAGGTCATTTAGGAGAAATTCCGGGGTGACAAAGTTGTTGGGAGAGGCCACGGTGCTGGACTGAATTCCATCCATGAAATCAGAAGAATTGCACAGAATAGAGTGGAGTGGAAGACTTGATGGGAGTTCTGTGTGACATAGAAGGCCTAACTGGTTAGGGACGATGATGATGAATGGATATACAGAAACTTTATATAATTTATATTTATATATATATATATAACCAGCAAATGCTGAGGTTCTAGAGAGAATGAGACAGGTGAAATATACTTGCATATTTAATGTACAATATTTCTACTAACCAAAATTTAGAGAAAAATTTAATTTAACTGGATAAGAGATAGACAATGAAAGACACCGATGGAGGATATCCTTCGAAGATGAATACCCCCCTTTTTTTTTTACTTCTAATAAAAAGCAGTCTGAGAAAGTGTCTAACCAGGGTGAGAGATAACAGACAACAAAACTTTATTTTCAGAGGTTTAAAAATTGGGCATGAAGGCCTTTTGGAGGTACATTGTATCCAAGTCAGAGGTTTAAAAATTGGGTAATAAAACCTGTTGGAGGTACATTGTATCCAAGTCAGAGGTTTAAAAATTGGGTAATAAGGCCTGTTGGAGGTACACTGTATCCAAGTCAGAGGTTTAAAAATTGGGTAATAAGGCCTGTTGGAGGTACATTGTATCCAAGTCAGAGGTTTAAAAATTGGGTAATAAGGCCTGTTGGAGGTACATTGTATCCAAGTCAGAGGTTTAAAAATTGGGTAATAAGGCCTGTTGGAGGTACATTGTATCCAAGCATTATTGTAAAAAGGGTACTTGCTTATTTCTTGTAGTCCCATGATGTTTCACACACACAATATAGGTTATATCACGATTAAATGCAACCAAAAATAAACTATGGCATGCCATATTTGTTTTAGAAAAATAATAAGAATTCAAATTGCTGTTGGAATAGCAATATTTTGTAATGTACTTTGACCAAACATAAACAGTAAGAAGACACGCCTCAAAGTATGGGACATACATCGAAACAGACATTATGTATTGCTTGAGATTACAAGAAATACAGACTTGCATGAACACTGTAGCCTTTGCCTGTATGGTTTGAACTGTGCATATGATGTTTTTGTTCTTGCAGGGTCTTCACAACTAAGATGGTTTTTTATTTCTAAGTTTCCGTTTAGAACATTTTGACTTACTGCATAGAGAAATATATATTCTTTGTCTTGTGAATGTTTTTGTAGGTTGCATTTCACATTTAACATCACTAACATTTTATGTTCACGAAATTATTATGGTTCACATACACTAGTTTAAAAAGTTCACACCACTGCATTGTTTTTCTCACATTTTATAAAGATTGTGTAGCAGATTTACTTTATGATGTAGTGGTAAGTGATATTTAATGTTTCATATTTTTATTTTGTGTAACATTTTTGGTTCCTGGCAGAATATTGTCTAACCCACTCTCGTTTCGTTATGTTGTTTGATTTTGATTTTTTTTAATTTTTAAGGCAGATTAATGTCTAACCCACTGTCTTCTAGTTAATAATTTTTGTAACTCTCTTTTGGTTGCTATTATTGTTTGCCGAGGACGGCTTATTGCTGTAATGTCCTCATTTGTCACAACAGTGATTTTATAAAGCAGATCTATAGCTCATTTGTTCCTAGTAATTCTGACTCTTGTTACTGAACTTGCTTCTAGCGCTGATAGTTTCCTAGCCAGTCTAATATAGTGGCAACATCCTGTCACAGAGTGGTTGAGGAAACATATACATTGTGTGAAGTAATCAGTGAACATCTAGTGCATTGTCTGGTATAAAAGAACAGATTTCTGCGTTATTCTGTTACTGTTTGGAATTATATTTTTGTAGGTCACCATGAGTCCTTAGGGACCATAGAGCTGGGCCGCTGGTTTTAGAAACAGCGTCTGCCAAAAAATAATCCAAGCTGTATTTATTTGGCAAGAATGGATTGCAACACTAAGCACTCCACGAATAGCTGCCCTAACCTTCATCTTTGTGCTAGGTCATGCGGGTGTTCAAGGAAACAAGCCTGCAGACTATCTTGCTGACACTGCGGTTGTTATGGCTGGTCCAGTACTGGACAGAAGTGATGTTATCAATGCCATGCGCTGCACTTACCGTACTGAGGAGCACGCTAAAGGACATGACTCCATAACCCTGTCTAGACTGATGGACATGGGGGTGCAGCCTGGAGCTGCAAGAAATGAATATTTCTCTAAGGGGACAAGACGTTTCATTAACCAACACAGAACAGGCGTCATTAGTCATTTTACACTTGTGGAGCTTTTGAGGAGGAGATTGGGGCATCTATGGATCTGTCCGGATTGCTGTGAGGATAATCGTTTCTAATCACTAATCACTAATCACAGCTAAATGTCCAAGGCAGAAGTGGCAGTCTCTGCAACATTGTCGACATATACTTGTGCTGGTTTTCTCTCTGACATCTCTTCATAGCTTGCTGCATTTGGCCTCTTCCAAACTGAAACAGTTCGTCTTTCACTGTCGGTCTCCACGAAAATCGGTCTGCAGCTGATCTCTGCCAAGCGTCTGTGCGAATGTTGGTATCTTTCAGATCGCTTTTGCACACACATCCTTATAGCATAGCCTTGGCCTTCCTGCAGATCTTTTCCCTGTTTCCAGTTCACCCAACAGGAGATCTTTTGGAAATTACATTACAAACTTACTGAGAATGTCATTAAAGTAGATCTCCAGTTCACAGTGTAGTTTTTTCTAGAGATCCCTGAGGATTGTTGCTGGATCCCTGTAGTTCATGCTTTAGGTGATGCTGTCAGCAGGTGACTATCCATTCTATGAAGAAAAACCAAGCTATATGGGACAATTCCATCCGGTGGAGTAAAGCCGATACAGCTTAAACTTTTGTCAAAGTGGAAAAGGGCACAAAACACAAAGTAAACGGCTGTCCTCTAGAGAGAGAGCTGAGGCCCTTATTTCCATGCCATTGTGAAATATTGAGTGCATGGTGCTAGGCCTGTATTGTTTTAGACCTATCACTACCCACATGGGTGATATGGCTAACATCCCCTCGACCACCTCCTATCTTTATCTGTTACCACGGCTTCTTTGTGGTGGTGTGCAATGCTACACAGTACTGGCACCTGTTTGAGGCATCCTTTTTTTCGGCCCTACTATTATAGACACTTTATGTTGTGCTGAGTATGCACACCTTTTTTATAGTCACTACCGTACCAGTAGCTTTTTCTTCTTCTACAAACAAAAACGAAACTCCGCCTGTAACCCATTTTAAGCTAGATTGACCTGAAAGCCAAGGTAATCTTATTTTTTTTTTTTTAAATCCACTTAGATGTGGATTCAAACCCACAACTTTCAGGCTGGCAGGCAAGGGTATAATTGCTACACTACTGCGGTGGTTAGGAAACTATAGGGTGATTCCTAAAACATTTAAGTTCTTCATATTAACATGCTGATTGCATAATTATAAAAGATGGGATCTGTCAAAGCCAAAATTGACAGTCCTGACCTGCCCAGTATGTGATGACTCCACCAGCCTTGTGGTACCTAAACCATCATGCTAAAGACCCTGCATCCTGCACTAAACGTCCTAAAAAAGTGATAAACAAAGGTAATAAAGACAGTTGTTGTTCCTAAAATAGGTGCCGGTTCTGCGTAACATTACGTAGTACAAAAGGAGAAAAAAAGCCCTTCATGTAAGTTATTACCATTGTGAAGTGGTAGGCCAAAACATACAAGATAGGGTGACAGATCCCCTTCCTCATCGCCTTTGCTTCCCAGATAATTTAAGGATTATGAAAATAGTTTTGGTAAACAAATATCAGCCTGTTTCAAAATAGACAGAATCTGTGGTGAATAAATGTATATTTCAAAACAGACAGGAGCTATGGTAAACAGATGTCAATCTATTTCAAAACAGGCAGGAACAATGGGCAACTATGTCGACGTACGCCTGTTGGAAGCTTCTGGTGGGAATCACACGGAAACAGAGCCAAGACCATCAGACTATGGCAGAAATATACAGCAACCAAATGGTCAGCAGACTGGCAGAGGTCATTGACAACTCACAGCGAATCTTCCGCAAGGTCAGTCCATGATGCTGAAATATTCACATCTGCATACTTATTGCCATTTTGAGTTATTTACACCCGTGACTTATGTACAAATTATTGTTTTATATTACTCTCCTGTAAAAATGCCCCTTGTTTGGTAGTTTATAAATGTATTCTTGTGAAACAAACATGGATGTTTTTCTTTGAATACCAGGTCGTTATTAGTGACTTTAATGCTAGATATATTCTATTTTGACTTTTTATTTTTATTTTAACACTTTAAAGTAGTTAGTCTGACAGCAGATACCAATTGGCATGTGAATCAGGGTTAACTGGGCATCTGGCTGACAAAATAGAAATCAAGAAGGTGTGTGTGGACGAACTGGTGTTCAGACTGTTGGTTTGCACCTCTCAGATAAATGCGTCCTGACTTTGAAGGGAAAACCCATAATTACCATAACTAGTCGCCTTTTACAACATGCATGTTAGAGGGCAGTCGGTCTAGTCTCTCACCCCCGCCCCCTCCAAAATGGGACCCCAAAACCCACGCAGGAGTCTGGGATTATGAGACTATAACCAACAATTATTTTTCAGTCGCTATCAAGCTGTCCACCACCTGCTGCCACGTTCATGTTGTCCTGAATTAAGGGGAGGGGGGGGGGGGGGGGGGTTTAACAGGTACTCCAGCTTGCTCAAGGGTGCCCTATAGGCTAGCCGAGGGAAAGAAGTGGCCAACTTCTCCTTGGAGTTGTGTGTTGGATTCATTTGGGCCAAGAATTGACAGCACAGCAGTTGGAACATTCCCATGTGTACCCCATCCTCAATTTCAGCAGCCAGCACAGCAGAATTCCAATATTGATGGTACCGGTCTCCTTGGAAAGAGCACACACACACCCCACCTACCCCCGATATCCATTGCTTAGTACCATATGTGTTATCATTTAAAATTACCATATGATTTCTCCTAAAGCCCTATGCATGGGTGTTTATAGTAACATTGATCTCAAAGCAATGTTTCCCCATTGTGAATTTGAACAAAGAAGTCACAAACAATATACTGCACAATTTATTGCCTGGCGTACTACACTAACAATTGTTCAAAATGAAGCAAATAAATGAAACCTTCAAACTGAAATACAAAATCGACCACATTCACACATTGTCTTGTTCCACAAAGGTAAACGCAAAGTGACGAGCATTTATTTCTGTTGGCAAAGTTCTGGATTAAACCGGCTGTTTGCTGATGCTTCTGCATATCTCAGTAATCTACGTTGGCCGAAGTGTAAATAATTCGAAATGCATTGTCCTTGTTTACCATGTGCCCAGATTTAGAAGATGGCACACTATTGCTGATGATGGATTTTTTCGACCAGTCACCTGATTCGTTGTTGTAAAGATGTTATTGGTGCTTTGCATTGTTTTTACCATTGATCTCAGTATCTTCAGTTTGTTGTTACTCTTTGAGGATAATAACATGTGTGGTTTTGTCTGCAGTGCCGAGATATTGGAGCAGAGTCTCATGAAGATATCATGAAGGTTTTAAATGAGCTGCAAAGTGTAAGTACAACTGTTGAAGTTAGCTCCAGTTTGTGTAATTGTTCATCATCATCTTTATCATCATGTACATATCTTTGAAAAAATTCATCCCAACACTTTCAATTTCAGACAGGTATAACTTTATCCCATTCTGGTTTGGAAAGTCGTTACTTTAAATCATCGCCATTAAACTGCCGTTACTGTCTGTATTTACCACTTTTGGGGTGTAGGCAGGGGGTCTTTGAGCCTGAGGATTTAAGGCTGCTCTGCTAATGCTGTACCATGGACGGTTCGGGTTTGGGTTTTATTTTTGAACAAAGGAAAAATCCTCAACCTTACCTTGTATTCCAACACAGTCTGTTGTTTGAGAGCCCAGCGTTCTGACCATTCAGCCAGCCACTTTTCTTTAAATTATAAAAAGCTTGAATCACCATCATTGATTCAACATTTCTTAGTAGGTAACCCAAGTGACTTGTGCAAAAATGTAGTTTTAGAAAACAATGTGGTGATAATAACGAGGAAGAACAGCAGCAAGAGAAGCCTGAGCATTTACAAACAAGAGTACTTATCACGAACTCAACTACTCGGTGAGAGTTCATTCCCCTTTTATTCATGCAGTGGTGGGTCACACGGCCTGTCGTATGTTGTGAGGGTGTCATGCATTCCTTACCTTTAACGGTTTAACCATTGTCTCTTGTCTCATGTTGTCACCACTCAGTTGCATGATAATTTCCATGTTGTGCTACTCCCCGTACACTTTGTGACTGTCGAAACTGGGATGTTTTTGTATTTCTATGTTGCTTGTCTGTGGTTTCTTTTTTCTGGGCGAAAGACACCACCAAAGAATGTAGAAATACACAGACATCCTAGTTTTGATTGCTTATGAACAATCATGCCTTCGGCTCTCGCCCCTGCAATATTTCTTACTTGTACGCAGGCAGCTGCGGCACCTCAAAGAGGCTCATGACAACACAACTCCCACATATACGGCAAGCAAGTGGCAAAGAAGCCACCTCATAACAACATAGGACAGGCTGTGCAATCCACCGTGGCATAAATGGGAGAGGAAGGAACGCTCGTCATGCGGGCGAGTTGATAAGAAGTTCCCAAAGAAGATATTAAATGGAGAGGTCACAAATGTGATCATACATGATAGGATACCATCACCTCAAAACAAAAATTATATTTTGTGTGTTGGATAATCCATAGCAATAATTCATTATTAATCATTATTATTTTAATTGAATCAGATTCCCCGTATGGGTTCCGGGGCCCTATTATGGGCAAAACAAGAATAGACCCACTGCCTACCCAAAAGCATGTCTTAAGAGTCGACTAATTAGGAGCTTCCTTCAAAGTCAGAGTGCATCTGCCTCAGAGGCATGGAACCAGCAGTCTGCATACAGATGAATCAGATCTGTAAAATAGATGCACACACAAAACTCAGTTTCTGGAACAGGACTGCAGTCTAAAAGTGCATGAACAACCAGAACTTTCTGCCAGAGTTTACAGCTGGTGGACACGAAGAAATAGAAAACCAGATGAAGAGCATATGTATGTCTCAGAACAATATCCTACGTATAACCTAGTTAAGTATATAAATTTAGTTATGTAATCCAATTAATGATTTAAAATAAATTACAGAACCCAGCTACTTATAAAAATTAAGTTATGGAACCCAGTTACTGATATAAAGTAAATTAAGGGACCCAAAGGTTATGTGTTTGTTTACCGTACAATAAATCCATTTTGACTTCAATCTGTGGTACAGGCAATGAAGACCTACCATTTGTACCAGAACGAGAGTAAACAAGCGGAGCTGAAACTCAGAAACGTGGAGTCACAGAAACAGAAGGTGGAGCAGCAGTTGTCCAGCAAGAACACGACCAGTCGTAAACTCAAGGGACTGGAGAGGCAAGCTGAGAAGGTAATTTCCCCCTACAAATTAGGACAGTTTTATTAACCTTGCATTTTTGGTTGATACATGTTTTTTGTTTTGTTCTACAGAACTTCATGGAACAAAATTTAAATGTATTAAAAACAAATGACTGAGGAAATGTATGAACATACAATGGGATAAATTCAAGAGGGGTGAAAAAGAAATTTTAGAAATGTCTGAGCAACCACCAGTATCAGCATTTATAAGGCAAAGCAAATGGTGCTATATTGGACATTCTGAAAAGAGATGAGAGCAGAGAGTTACCAAACAGGCACTGGAATGGGAAATTGAGGACATCCCAGAGAAACCCTAAAGCATTTGTTGATGAGTGAGGCTAGAAATGCTGGACAGGATTCTATCCTTGTTATCTAAGTGATTGCACAGGATAGAATAAAATATAGAAATAGACTGTGAGCCCTATGGGACACAGTAGGATAGGGCTATTCAACTAAATTTACTCAGGGGCCAACATTTTGAAAATGGTGATCGCCACGGGCTAGAGGCCTGAGCTCCAGCATAGGAAGATTGTTAATACAGTACAACTGGCAATGATCCGCAGGCCACTTGCTAGACCCTCAAGGGCCAGATTTGGCTCACAGGCCACCAGTTAAATAGCAGAAACACAAAGTGATATTAACTCTTTGAGTTTCAATGAATGCATCATATGTTCATGGCTTCCTACCTAGAAGCCCAATGAACGCAAGATGCGCCGATTTTATGACTTTATTTACTACTCCCTGGGCCTGTGATGCTAAACCCCCTGGGACTCAAAGACTATAAGCTACACAACTAGCAAAAGACATGAAACTACATGTAACTCTTCTCTGTTCTGCTTTACAGCATAGGCTGTAGAACAAAAGGAGAAGAACATAGTTAAATCAGTCTGACAGAAACAACGCACACACACACACACACACAAGAGAGAGAGAGAGGTATAATATAAGCCAATCTCTTGTACAGAAACAGCATGCATATGTGTTATGTGAAACAATTTCTGCTACAGAAACACCACACACATAAACACACAATTATATATATATAAAATGTAAACCAATGTCTCGTACAGAAACAGCATGCATATGTGTTATGTGAAACCATTTCTGCTATAGAAACAACAGAAGTATGCAGACAACAAGGTGAAAGCTCTGAAGGCACGCAACGACTACTTGCTGTCTATAGATGCTGCTAATGCAGCCATTAACAAATACTTCTCTGATGACATTTCTGATCTCATGGACGTAAGTTTCCTCTGCATTATTTTTACTGTTTTATTTGTTTTAAAAACGTTGCATAATTGGGCTCTGGACAGCCACAGGTATCAACAGTTATAAGATTAACTCTTTGAGTCCCAAGAAATGCATCATATGTTCATACGTTCCTACCTAGAATCCGAATGAACACAGGATGCACTGATTATACGTTTCCCTTTGCCACTCCTTGGGCTAAACCCACTGGGACTGAAAGAGTTAAGGAGATGGTGATATATTGGACACATAATGAGGAGCAGCAGACAGAGAACCAGTAAGGAGTTAATCCACTGAACTGTGACTACAAAGATTATTAAAAGTGGGGGGGGGGGGGACAACACACACACAACAATATAAACTAGATGTTTCAGCTGGGGCCTTTCTCGACAAACCACAACAACAGCAACAAGAGATAGAGTATGCCCCACTAAGCAGGCACTGGAATAAGAAACAAATGGTCTGAGGAAAGGAGGGGGAAAAAGACCAGAGTTACTGGGGTGCTTGCCTGGATCCCATCCATGATATCGAGAAAAACGTATACAGAGTTGAGCAGAGTTGGGGAGCAGACTGAACCGTATGATATATATAAAGGCAGAATAGGATGATGATAGTGATAAATGAGCTAGGTTGTTTTAATTATATTTTACCTCTGGTCATTAGTTTGGAGTCTCTAGATTGTAAATCAGGTGACGTTTCCACGGTTTCCTACCCAGGGTGTCCTTGATATCCTATGTCTGCCATTATGCTAACTGTTTTCTGCGTCTTCTTCCAGCAGCCACCCCCATTATAACTGTTCCCTGCAACTAATACAAGCATTTCTTCTTTTTCGTATCTTTGTTTGTGTTAATCAGTTGTAAAATCCAGCAGAAAATTGTGATTATCTATCCACTTTAGTCTTCATCCAGAGCTTCAAATTTCTCATGCACATCCATTTTACAGATCTGGTTAAACTTGTATGCAGACTATAAGTAAGTTAGCCAATTACGTGTAAGATTACTTCGCTTGCATTGTTATGTGTACGGGTTTGTCTATACCCGCTTGAAATTGTGACAATAAATGTGCATATATGGTGGCAACATGTCATTGAGTTTTCCTGACAGTTTTGTACGCAAGTTGAGAACAACAGTTGGAATTTGAATCATATTCTGGACACTTGGTCGTGTGCTGTTTGCCCATTAAGCAGCTTTAGCACACAACAGTTCCTTGCCTTTAGGCAGATGCATTTCAACTTCAAAGGAAAAATCCCCAGCTGCTGTTGACAACATGCTTGTCGAGAGACAGTGGGTCTATTCTTTTCCCCCAAAACCCACAGGGGGTATTATAGCAGGCAGTTTGTCTCAAGTATTTCAGTTTACGAGAAATTATACTGTTCACAAGCCAGTCTCCCTCAATACCCAGACAGTAACCACAGCATCTTCTTCTGCACTCACCCTTAGAACCTTAGAAGGGTGGTTGGTACATTGTGTTGTGTTTTACAGGTTGTAATGTAATATCTGCGGCTGTTAGCCCAACACATCTGATTTCAGCAAATTTCTTGTCACTTTTTATGATGCGCTTGTGCTCCCTGTGTGGGTTCCGGGCCCCTTTTATAGGAGAAACAAGAACAGACCCACTGCCTACCCAAAAGCATGTTGTAAGAGTCGACTAATTGGGAGATTCCTTCGAAGTCGGAGTGCATCTGCCTGAGAGGCAAGAAACCAGCAGATCTGCAAAACGGATGCACACACAACCAACACTCAGGTTCTGGAACAGGACTGCAGTCCAGAAGTGGATGAACAGCCAGAACTGTCCGCCAGAGTTTACAACTGGTGAACACGAAGAAGAAGAAGATGTTTTTGGTCATCAAACAACGAATTGGTACAAACTGGCAAGCAACTTTTTTCTTGCCAAAATCTTGCACTAAAATTTTATGAATGGTCTCTCTATTACCACCAGATACATCTTCCATCATCTTAACTGTAAAACAATGATCTTTGTGTATCCGTTCTCTGACTTTTGCAATGAGTTCATCATTACAAACATAAATTTGGCGTCCAGGTCTAGGTGCATTAGTAATAATTTCTACACCACTTTTGAATCGTGAATACAACATGAAAATTTTTGCACGAGATAAACAATTATCCCCATAAACTTGTTGAATCAGTTGAACTGTTTCAATGGCACAATCTGAGTTTTAAAAAGAATTTAATGTTAGCTTTTTGCTCCGTGCTGATTACATAACAATGCATCTCTGACTAGGTCAACAAGATGGCAGCTTGTATGTTGTCTGCTTATCGAGTGTTGATGAAAAGTTGCCAGATCATAGATGAATGTTGTCTCTTTATATTTCATGCTTTGCATGGCATTTTTTTTCTTGGCTATAATAAAAATCAGTCTCATTACTTAATTGTCGGACCTTGTATGAGTTACCAATCTTTCTCATCTTGTTCAACCCCCAGTGCATGGACTTTGGATACCATCACTCAGTTGGACGAGTCATGATGATGTATCTGGGCATTCATGAGCACCAGAAGATGACCCACGTCAAGTCGATAGAGCAGCTGAACAAGTGTATTACTGACCTAGATTCCAGAGCAGACAAACAGAAGTTTATGGAGCTGAACAACATTTACTTTATGCTGCCCAAGAAGTTTGACTACCAACCCTTCAAAGGAGATGAGGTGTGATTGTTGTTGTTGTATTTCAATGCATATATAAATTTTTTGATAATTGATTGTTTTTCAAAAACACAACAGCACACATTTTAGTTTTTACTATGCAGTGAAATATAGAAGGAGTCATGAGGAGAAAGTTCAAACTGCTGAAGTTTATCTGTGAACAAAAAAGATTGATGACGCCTGCATTCAGGAATCTCATTTAAATACACAGTCACTTCTATATAAGAGGCTAGAAATGGATGAATCAGGAGCTGTGATATCTGTGACTTTCAGCTGAACAAATCCAATTTAAACCCAACTTTAGTTAGTTACCTTTTTACAACATACTTGTTAAGGGACAGTGGATCTGTTCTTGTTTTCCTTCAAAAGGCAGCCCTGAAATACAGGGATATCATTGATTGAGAATGTGATTGTATACTAGGACAGATTAGATTTTAATGTTCAGCAATACAGCTGAAATAACCTACACATGTGTGTGTACTCAGTGATTTACTGAGTATGATCCGGAGGGTTCAGGCAGTTTCGGTGAGAAGGCAATGCATTGAATCATTACAGAAGTTTACTGTGCGTGGAGTCACCTTTATTTTCATTCCGGGATACGCAGGGGTCAGTGGGAATGAAGCAGTTGATAGGTTGGCCAGATCCACTATTACTACCTACGGTCAGCCTATGGATCATGCTGACATTTTTAATGCCCTCTGAGAAATGGGAAGGGTGGAGGACTTTATGGGTGATAAATCAAGATCAGTCGCCTGAATGATAGATAGACTTGGGAGTTGAGATCAGCATAGCAAAAAACAAGACACAATGAGTCACATCAAAGGACTTGTTAATCACTATAGAAGTGGTACTATTATCCACCAGATGCTGAGGTTCATACTGAGGGGAGGTTCTAATCACCTATGGACATGTCCGAAGGGCAATGATGATGACCCAACTAAGTAACTAACTAACTAGCTAAGCTAACATGATTTCACATGTTAAATAAGATAATAATATCTAAAAAGACACACTCTTATACACTGTGCTGTTTTGTGGAGGAAAAATATGGTGTATTCTCTAAATGTTCGTTAGTGAGTTTTGATTCTTCATCTGCAGGTCTGCCAGATCAGTGCTCAGAAGGAAGTACAGGAGGATTTAATACAACGGCATGCCACAATAGAGGACAGGTTGAATAGTCTTAAAGCTGAAAATGATGAGGTATCATTGTTATTTTCATTTGTTTAAACTCATTAGAATAGAATTAGGGTTCCATTAAATGTTTCATCCACATAATTAACAAAATAGGTCATGAGCCCATGAGAATTGCCAGCACAAAAAAAAAATCTTTAACAATTTTAAAGAGGTTACTAATAATTGTTGATAAAAATGTATCTATCAAGGTGAATTTATCTATATTGTTTTAATTGTTTTTGGAAATAGATAACGAAATATTACTGAGGCTATGAGGAAAATGTGTTGTCAGCAAAGCTTTTAAAAAGCCATTCAGTTCACGAGGCCTCACCCCCCAGTGCTGTTTTTAGAAAATATATCCATATCCTGACCTGCTAAAAGATGCGCAGGTGCAAGCACAATTAATGGCATTACTATGCTTCTTGTAAACATATCACTATAGTAATTCCAGTAATATTTGGAAGTCAAGATCACTCAGCAACAACACGAAACTTAAGGTCTTCAATTCCTGTGTGATCCCAGTGCTAACTTATGGTTGTGAGAGTTGGAAATCATCAGTATCAATCGATAAGAAACTAGTCGCTTTCGAGAATAGATGCCTCCGAAAGCTATTGAATGTTCACTAGTCGGACTTTAGGTCCAATACATCTATAAGACAGGAAACAAAACAAAAATATGTGTCTGATTTTATTAGAATGCGTCGCTGGAATTACATCGGTCACGCACTCAGAATGGACATACAGAGACTTCCCCACCAAGCCTTCATATGGTCACCAGAGGGTAAAAGAAAACAGGGAAGACCAAAAGAAACTCTCCGTAGAACCATCACAAGGGAGAGCTCAACCATAGGTCTCAGTCGCACTCAAGACCTACATCAAGTGGCAACGAACCGACAGACGTGGAAAGCTATGACCTCTGCCCTATGCGCCATCTTTGGCACAAGAGGAATAACTAACTAATTCCAGTAAAGGGGCATTTAGAGGGAAATTGTACCCTATGGGAAATGCAGAGTTTGTAGCTTCTTAGAGTGAAAGGGTTAAAGGGTCATTTAAACACCATGAAGTAAAAGATGGAAGCTTAATCTGAGCCATCTACCTTCACAGAAAGAGGCAAGCAGCTTAACTACTTCACCATGGAGTCAGCCATTATTCAAGCAGAGATGAGTAGAACATAAAGTTAATTTACGTATTATGAGACATATATGGGTTATAATGTTAGGCTTTTCAGCGAACAAGTAGCATATAACAAGTGCTATGGTATGACTGGGAACAAGGTATCTCAAAATTGCTTCAGTACATTTGTGATAATAATGATTTTAAAACATATTACATTTAATGTTTTTATTACTGGTGATCTAAATCCCTGCTTCTTGGCCTCCCTTGCCTGCTGTTGATGTCTGATTCTCTCCCACTCTACATGCTTGTCCAAACCATCATAACTGTGACTGAACTTTATAAACACATTTTTTCCCTGTATGGGTTCCGGGGCCCCATTATGGGGAAAACAAGAATAGACCCACTGCCTCCCCAAGCAATCTGCAATACAAGTAAAACTGTTATGCATGCAACACTCACGTTCTGGAAAAGGACTAAAATCCAGAGGTGGACAAAGAACCATAACTTTTCACCAAAGTCTACAGCCAAAGACCGTGAAGAAGAAGAAACACACATTTTATTCAAATGCATCACGATTACTGTACACAGAAATCTTGACCATTGGAAGTATGATATTACTGATTCCTTGTTACAATGATATTTTTAACAGATCTGGAAGACTCTGGAGACAACAGAGAGGACACTTGTTGATACGGTTCAAGTGAAAGATTACGACGTGACCAAATTTTTTGCAGATGAGTCAGCACCACCCAGATCCCCACAAGAAATGTTAAAGCACAAGGCGGAGCGGCTAGAGACGGAGTCCTACTACTTAGAGGTGGGTTTCCAAGGAATTTCACATCTACATCTAGAACTGTTTCTACATTTGATGCAATCTTTTTCAGAATTAATGTGAAAATATTGTGTGTATTTAATCTTCTTCTACCCTTTCATTGTCATCATTATCAAGTGCCTTGCCAGTTGGCAGAGGCGTTTATGCAGTGGCCACTGATCTCAGGCTTTCGTATTCTGAATCAATTCCACTGATATTTCTCCAAACCATTGTCTTAAGCCATCCACCATACCATCATTGCTCTTGGTCTACCTCTTCTTCTTCTACCACTGATCTTTCCAGTTGTCACAATATTTTCCAGTGCTCCTTTTCTCATCACATGACCAAAGAACTGTCTCCTTCTCATTGTTGTATATAATGTTCTACTTTCATTAGCCATTTCCATGCCATCATTGTTAATTATCAGAAAGTTACTGGTACCATCAGAATTGTAACTCTTCTCTTGCTGCTGAAGATGGAGACAGAGCGCTAATGGGGGTGCCACAAGTGCTGTGATGTCGATTCTAAATTCAACATTCAACATTATCATTTATTCTGGCAGTCTAAGGTATTCACAACATTCTTTTCAAGAACCACATCTCAGTTGCCTCCAAACTCTTTTTAATTTGTTTTGCTCTCATTCCAAAATTCACTGACGTACAACAGAACAGGCTTGATGTAACATTTTAGTACTCTTTTGTCTGCCCTTTACTTATCATTTATTCATTGGACCTCAGTGAGCTTAACGCCAAGGGAGACAGAGCACTCATGGGAATGCCTCAAGTGCCCTAATGGTAACTTCTAACTAAGCTCACCTCAGTCTGTTTTGTGTGTGGTTAAATGCAGAAATTCAGATTGTCTGCCTCGATATGCAGAGTTGAGTTAGGAATCGACTTGAAACATTCTCCTAAAAGCTCCTTCCCCGTCTTCAGCAGCCAGCCTAAAGTTCCATTCCAGTACCAATGGTGCCAGTAGCAGTCTGAGTGTATATTCATTTGTCCTTTCCTCTCAGTATTGAGTGTCTGCCAGATCCCCATTAAATTATCATGGCACTATTCTCTCCAAAACATATGAACTATTCACTGCACATTCTACCTAGACCATATGTTGTATCAACTCTTCCACAATATTCACTTGCTCTCAGAGAGCTTTTACCATGTCTACCTTGCCATGCATTCACCATCCTGTGGTGCGCACCAACCAGTCTCTCTGCCTGTACATTGTCCAAGACACTAGCATAACCCAGAGGAAAGATTCAGTGGATACCAACTACCTTAAAGGACCTTTTTGCACGTTCGGACGTATTGGGCATCTGGTGCTAGACTTTATTTAGTTTTTGGCCCATCAGCATTTGATTCGGGGTGTGTTTAGCATCACACTGGCCACCTTTACTTCCCATGACTTTTTTATACCCATTTAAGGCTGAATTGACCTCAGAGCCAGTGTCACGTTTTGACAAATAGTCTGGCTGTGTTCAGATTTAGATCCATGACTTTTGGAACTGCAGATGTGTGTCCAGCTGCTACACCCCGGCAGCTCCCTACCGGCTACCTTGCTGTATACAAATTAATACATTTTATCACTTTGTTAAACAGTAATTTTGTTATAACATTATTTTTTTTTTGGGTGGGTTGCTGCATCTTTCATTAAAATACAATTATTTTCGCAATTCTTTGCAGAAATTCCGTGAGTACACCCTCAGTTGCAACAGACTCGCTAGACTGCAGTCCAAAAATGCAGCCATACAGAAAGCTCTGGGAGAGAACCAAGATGATGTACCAACAAGGTCTGTTTTTTTTTTTTAACCAGCTGTGCTCATCATCCTCATCATTATCATCATTGCCGCCATCATCATCATCATCATTGCCGCCATCATCATCATCATCATTGCTGCCATCATCATCATCATCATTGCCGCCATCATCATTATCATCATCATCATTGCCGCCATCATCCTCCTCATCATCATCATCATTGCCATCATCATCATCATCATCATCCTCATTATCATCATCATCCTCATCATCATCATCATTGCCGCCATCATCATCATCATCATTGCCGCCATGATCATCATCATCATCATCATTGCCATCATCATCATCATCCTCATTATCATCCTCATCATCATCATCATCATCATCCCCATCATCATCATCCCCATCATCATCATCCTCATTATCATCCTCATCATCCTTATCATCATCATCATTGTTGTGATCATCATCATCAGTGCTGTCATCATCATCATTGTCATCAACATCCTTATCATCATCAGTTCTGTTATCATCCTTATCATCATCAGTGCTGTCATCATCATTACCATCATTGTCATCATCATCCTCATCATCATCATCATCGTTGTCATCATCATCATTATTTTCTTCCTCCTTCTCCTCCCCATCATCATCATCGTTAGCATCATAAGGGCCATATTTAGACATGTGCAACATGGGAAACAACTGCACAGGGCAACACAATTTTTGGGGGCAGCAAAATATAACCAGTAGTAATAAAATGTTTGTAAACATTTTTGTAATTTTAGTTTCATTGTTTGTATGATTATGAAACCTACATTAGATTACTATTCTTGCATTAAAGTTGTCTGACAGTAGGGGTGCTGAAGTTTAGCTGAGGGTTGTAACATAAATGACTGCACAGGGGTTTCACATAAATTATCGCACAGGGGCTTCATACATCCAAAATACGGCCCTAATCATCATCATCTTTAAGTGCCACCCTCTCACCAATAGTAATGTGCTTTCTCCACAACCAAAGTAGCCTACCGAGTTCTTACTACTGTATCTGTGGTGAAGCCCTTATATCTTTCCTGGTGTGACTCTCTTTTAAAAAATAAACCGACAACACACTGCCAACAATACACCGTGACTAATTGCAAGTTAATATTACAATTATATAGTTATTTTTAAGATCTGAATTTTCTCTACTGTCTTGCAATAGCAAACTAACACAAAATGAAGATTTTGTTACTAATATAATATTGCTCAAATGACAATGGCTTGATAGTATACCTTTGTGTTTAAATGAAAGATGATAAATGATAAGTGCTAAAATAATGTTCTTGGTCTAATTTGGTGGTTAAATAAATGACAGTTTATACAAAATGTCATTCAGATGACAATGACAGACAGTATTTAGGTAGCTGTGCTCAATTTGTTGATCTGTTAAAATACGGTGGCTTCCGATAGCAGCGAATGACTGTATGAAGATAAGAATGGGGGGGGGGGGGGGGGGGGGGGGAGGGGGGGTTATTTAATTATTCATATGTCCTCTCTGATGACTTGAGTATCATAAATTGACTGTTGAAATCAGAGAAGATGATAACAGCTGTTTTATATGTCCATCACTGAATTTTTCAGGCCCCCTATGCCTCCTCCTAAACCAAAGAAAAGGCGAATTGGACATCATCCTCCTGTTGGACAACCAAAACTCTTTACAGGAAGTCTGGAAGAATACATAGAGGTTAGTTTCTGAGAAGGTTCATCATCATCATCATGATAGCATGAGACTGAATGTGGAACTTTTTGATGTTAATATTTTTGGAAAATTCAACATACAGAGTCCTGTTGAAAATGTTTAGTTTTGTGCCTTTTTGGGCTGTCTCAATTTTTTCCTTCTAATTTGCTCCAGATGGTCAAATGATACACTTAGATTATCTATTATTCGTTTACAGAATCTGTTCCTGTGTAAAGTAATTGCACAACTCATATTTTTGAAGTATCTTTGAACTATTTCAGTATCAGACTACTCAGTATACTCTTGCTGATACCCAGTATACTCTTGCTGATACCCAGTGTACTCTTGCTGATACCCAGTGTGTGGTAAACTGTACATTGTCCACAGCCTTCCATCCCATAATTTTGTTTTCTTTATCTGTCCTTTTCCGGTGGTTCTTCTTCTTCTTCTTTACATCCTCTTTTACCGCTTCGGGTGTCAAGAGAGATATAAGTTCTTGCTTCCTGCTCTTCTGGCTCTCTTCTGAACATAGACACATCATGGTGCTGTAAAGTTTCTCTCATATTATCTTACCATCTTGTTCTTGGTTTACCTCTTGATCTATGTCCCTCTTGTCTTTTGTATATGCCTTGTATCGTATAGCATCAGAAGGCATTCTCCCCAGGGGAGCAAACCATTTGATTTGCTGTCTTTGAATGTAATTTAGAATTGGTTCTGTGCTGACTTTATCTCGTATGACCTCATTCCTGATATTATCTCTTCTGGTCACTCCTACAGTCTTTCTCAGACAACTCATTTCCATGGTTACTAATTTTCATTTGTTTTGTTGTGAGTGACCATGTCTGGCACTGATAGCACCGGGTGGGAATGAATATGCTTTGTATGAGATGTTTTTCTTTTAGCTGACTATGATTTCCTTATGCTGTTGGGGGGGGGGGGGGGGGGGGGGGCTAGCTGTCCCAATACTTGGCCTGCTTTGCTGCATCAGATGTAAATTTCTTTTTCCAATTTACCGTCTTCAATGAATGTTGTTTCAAGATATTCAAACTCAGATGCTTGTTTAATAAATGTATGCTCTAATGCAGTGGTTCTCAACCTTCCTAATGCCTCGACCCTATAATACAGTTCCTCATGTTTTGACGACCCCAGCCATACAATTATTTACCTCGCTACTTCATAACTTCAATGAATATGTGTTTCGCTATGGTATTTGGCGACCTCTTTGAAAGGGTCTTTAGACAACAACAAAAAGTTTCGCGACCATAGATTGAAAACCGCTACTCTAATGCTATATTTAAATTCTGCTTCTTTCTTCCTATTTATATTACTTCTGACTTTTCTATGTTGATTCTCAAATTATTTGATTTACATTCTTCATTCATGGACGTGAGATGTTTTAAATTCAATGCTGTATCTGCAATCAAGGCCTGGTCATCAGCAAAGAGTAATTAATTGATGTTACTATTGTTTTCATTCCTGGGCTTGGAAACTTTCCTGTGGTTACCTTAGCCATATTGTTCTCAGAAACCACAAACCCAGCAGTTTTGGTTGTGCCATTTGCCTCTCAGATCTGCATTCTCAGCTCACCTGTGGTGGCATGTTTAATAGACTCATGGGTAACAGAATTGATTCCATTTATGCAGGTACAAGCATTTGGCAGGACTGGAAATTATTACGTTACCAAAATAAATAGCAATTAAAGGGGTGTGCTTGTGAAAAATTGTCATATTTTCCCCCATTAGCCATAGAGTTACTGAGCAACTGGGTCAAAAAGTTAAGTAGTTAGGATGGTATAAAAAAATATTAAGGCTCAAAGAGACCAAAGCCAATTTATTCGCTGCTGGATTCATTTCTGTTGAATATTTCCTTTCTTTGAGTGATACTTGTTGGTTTTTTAAGACTATAAAATCAAATATTTTTTGACAATTTTCTGTTTGGTTTATTTTGTTACATGGAATTCCCCAAATACAGCAGATACAGGACCTTTGCAATGTGTTTTTGAGGTCACCTGGGTGATTTTTGGTGAACCCATCCTGTTCCAAATTTAGTGATTAGTAAGGTTTATCTCAGCACTCCAAACAGATTCATAGGTGCTCTGATCTCTTCCTCCAAACCTCCATAAGTGTAAAATGACTAATGACACCTATTCTCTGTTGATTAATGAAATGTCTAATCTTAGCAAAATGTTCATTTCTCGCAGCTCCAGGCTGCAAGTCCATGTTCATATGCCTAAACAGGGATATGGAGTCATGCCCCTTGACCTGCTCCTCTGTGTGTTTTATAATAACCCCTTTGAATGAAAATAATGTTGAAAGTATACATTTTTCTCATATCCTGTTTGTCAGAACGGAACTTAGTTGTTACGTCAAGGAAACAACAGTTTTGTTGGAAAAACCTTTCACCTTTGTGGTAGCTGGTCTAGAAGGAAAGCTGTGGTAGCTGGTCTAGAAGGAAAGCTGTGGTAGCTGGTCTAGAAGGAAAGCTGTGGTAGCTGGTCTAGAAGGAAAGCTGTGGTAGCTGGTCTAGAAGGAAAGCTGTGGTAGCTGGTCTAGAAGGAAAGCTGTGGTAGCTGGTCTAGAAGGAAAGCTGTGACAGGTGGACAGGCAGAGCACCACTGTTCTAATCCAGCAGCTTCTACAGCATGCTTTGTTCCATATATATATATATATATATATATATATATATATATATATATATATATATATATATATATATATATATATATTAGTGTTACCCTTTCCTTTAGATTAAACAAAGCAGGTGGAGGGAGGGATCATGCTGCTTTGGTATCACATGATCTGTGCATTACTGGCCAGGCTTTGCGCTGTGGAGAGGATTAACTTTATCTTTGCCTTTCTGTAGCACAATTGATAGAATACTATTGTATAGAAAGACAGAAATGTGCCAACAAGAAAATAGAATACTATTGTATAGAAAGACAGAAATGTGCCAACAAGAAAATAGAATACTATTGTATAGAAAGACAGAAATGTGCCAACAAGAAAATAGAATACTATTGTATGGAAAGACAGAAATGTGCCAACAAGAAAATAGAATACTGTTGTATGGAAAGACAGAAATGTGCCAACAAGAAAATAGAATACTGTTGTATGGAAAGACAGAAATGTGCCAACAAGAAAATAGAATACTATTGTATGGAAAGACAGAAATGTGCCAACAAGAAAATAGAATACTATTGTATGGAAAGACAGAAATGTGCCAACAAGAAAATAGAATACTGTTGTATGGAAAGACAGAAATGTGCCAACAAGAAAATAGAATACTATTGTATGGAAAGACAGAAATGTGCCAACAAGAAAATAGAATACTATTGTATGGGAAGACAGAAATGTGCCAACAAGAAAATAGAATACTATTGTATGGAAAGACAGAAATGCGCCAACAAGAGAATAGAATACTATTGTATGGAAAGACAGAAATGTGCCAACAAGAAAATAGAATACTATTGTATGGAAAGACAGAAATGCGCCAACAAGAGAATAGAATACTATTGTATGGAAAGACAGAAATGTTTCAACAAGAAAATAGAATACTATTGTATGGGAAGACAGAAATGTTTCAACAAGAAAATAGAATACTATTGTATGGGAAGACAGAAATGTTTCAACAAGAAAATAGAATACTATTGTATGGGAAGACAGAAATGTTTCAACAAGAAAATAGAATACTATTGTATGGAAAGACAGAAATGTTTCAACAAGAAAATAGAATACTATTGTATGGGAAGACAGAAATGTTTCAACAAGAAAATAGAATACTATTGTATGGGAAGACAGAAATGTTTCAACAAGAAAATAGAATACTATTGTATGGGAAGACAGAAATGTTTCAACAAGAATACTAAAAGACAGAAATACTATTGTATGGGAAGACAGAAATGTTTCAACAAGAAAATAGAATACTATTGTATGGGAAGACAGAAATGTTTCAACAAGAAAATAGAATGTTTCAACTATTGTATGGGAAGACAGAAATGTTTCAACAAGAAAATAGAATACTATTGTATGGGAAGACAGAAATGTTTCAACAAGAAAATAGAATACTATTGTATGGGAAGACAGAAATGTTTCAACAAGAAAATAGAATACTATTGTATGGGAAGACAGAAATGTTTCAACAAGAAAATAGAATACTATTGTATGGGAAGACAGAAATGTTTCAACAAGAAAATAGAATACTATTGTATGGGAAGACAGAAATGAATACTATTGTATGGCCAACAAGTTTCAACAAAATAGAATACTATTGTATGGAAAGACAGAAATGTTTCAACAAGAAAATAGAATACTATTGTATGGGAAGACAGAAATGTTTCAACAAGAAAATAGAATACTATTGTATGGAAAGACAGAATAGAAATGCGACCAACAAGAGAATAGAATACTATTGTATGGAAAGACAGAAATGTTTCAACAAGAAAATAGAATACTATTGTATGGGAAGACAGAAATGTTTCAACAAGAAAATAGAATACTATTGTATGGAAAGACAGAAATGTGCCAACAAGAAAATAGAATACTATTGTATGGAAAGACAGAAATGTTTCAACAAGAAAATAGAATACTATTGTATGGGAAGACAGAAATGCGCCAACAAGAGAATAGAATACTATTGTATGGGGAAAGACAGAAATGTTATCAACAAGAAAATAGAATACTATTGTATGGAAAGACAGAAATGCGCCAACAAGAGAATAGAATACTATTGTATGGAAAGACAGAAATGTTTCAACAAGAAAATAGAATACTATTGTATGGGAAGACAGAAATGTTTCAACAAGAAAATAGAATACTATTGTATGGGAAGACAGAAATGCGCCAACAAGAGAATAGAATACTATTGTATGGAAAGACAGAAATGTTTCAACAAGAAAATAGAATACTATTGTATGGGAAGATAGAAATGCGCCAACAAGAGAATAGAATACTATTGTATGGAAAGACAGAAATGTTTCAACAAGAAAATAGAATACTATTGTATGGGAAGACAGAAATGTTTCAACAAGAAAATAGAATACTATTGTATGGGAAGACAGAAATGCGCCAACAAGAGAATAGAATACTATTGTATGGAAAGACAGAAATGTTTCAACAAGAAAATAGAATACTATTGTATGGGAAGACAGAAATGTTTCAACAAGAAAATAGAATACTATTGTATGGAAAGACAGAAATGCGCCAACAAGAGAATAGAATACTATTGTATGGAAAGACAGAAATGTTTCAACAAGAAAATAGAATACTATTGTATGGGGAAGACAGAAATGTTTCAACACAAGAAAATAGAATACTATTGTATGGGAAGACAGAAATGCGCCAACAAGAGAATAGAATACTATTGTATGGAAAGACAGAAATGCGCCAACAAGAAATAGAATACTATTGTATGGAAAGACAGAAATGTTTCAACAAGAAAATAGAATACTATTGTATGGAAAGACAGAAATGCGCCAACAAGAGAATAGAATACTATTGTATGGAAAGACAGAAATGCGCCAACAAGAGAATAGAATACTATTGTATGGGAAGACAGAAATGAAGACAGAAACAACAAGAAAATAGAATACTATTGTATGGAAAGACAGAAATGCGCCAACAAGAAAATAGAATACTATTGTATGGAAAGACAGAAATGCGCCAACAAGAAAATAGAATACTATTGTATGGAAAGACAGAAATGCGCCAACAAGAGAATAGAATACTATTGTATGGAAAGACAGAAATGTTTCAACAAGAAAATAGAATACTATTGTATGGAAAGACAGAAATGTTTCAACAAGAAAATAGTGTTGTATGGGAAGACAGAAATGCGCCAACAAGAGAATAGAATACTATTGTATGGGAAGACAGAAATGTTTCAACAAGAAAATAGAATACTATTGTATGGAAAGACAGAAATGTTTCAACAAGAAAATAGAATACTATTGTATGAAAGACAATGTTTCAACAGAAATGTTTTCAGAAATGCGCCAACAAGAGAATAGAATACTATTGTATGGGAAGACAGAAATGTTTCAACAAGAAAATAGTGTTGTATGGAAAGACAGAAATGCGCCAACAAGAGAATAGAATACTATTGTATGGAAAGACAGAAATGCGCAAACAAGAAAATAGAATACTATTGTATGGGAAGACAGAAATGCACCAACAAAAATATTTTTTTAAAGAAAAGGCAGTGAGGAAGGTACAAATTGCAGTTTGGAACCAAACAGTATTGTTTTAAAACACACCAATTACTTTCAGAGCCTGAGACAGTCTTATGTGAGAGTAAAATTTCTAGTTTCTTTTTTTAATTAAATTTGTGTATGTGATATTTGTGTATGTGATATTTGTGTATGTGATATTTTTGTATCTGATATTTATGTATCTGATATTTGTGTATGTGATATTTTTGTATCTGATATTTGTGTATGTGATAATTGGTATGTGATATTGTGTATGTGATATTTGTGTATGAGATATTTGTGTATGTGATATTTGTGTGTGTGATATTTGTGTATGTAATATTTGTGTATGTGATATTTGTGTGTGTGATATTTGTGTATGTGATATTTGTGTGTGTGATATTTGTGTATGTAATATTTGTGTATGTGATATTTGTGTATGTGATATTTGTGTATGTGATATTTGTGTATGTTATTTTTTTGTATATGATATTTGTGTATGTGATAATTGTGTATGTGATATTTGTGTATGTGATGATATTTGTGTATGTAATATTTGTGTTGTAAATGATTTGTACAATGTTTTCGTTTAAACAGGCAACAGGTCAAGAAATTCCACTTGTGATTAAAAGCTGTATACGAGTTATTAATCTCTATGGTAAGTTTTGTTTACTTTAATAAAAGTGACATTGTTTTTCATGTTTATATTACAGCAAGCAAGAACATGCAGTTTCCAGTTATTTGCTTCTGTTTTCTCAGTTTCAGGAACCTGTTGATTTTATATATATATTGCAATGTCTTACATCTCAAATTTTGGCAATATACAAGTTATAGAAATATTTTGCAATGTCTTACATCTCAAATGTTGACAATATGCAAGTTATAGATATATATTGCAATGTCTTTCATCTCAAATTTTGGCAATATACAAGTTATAGAAATATATTGCAATGTCTTACATCTCAAATTTTGACAAAATACGTTATAGAAATATAGTGCAATGTCTTACATCTCAAACTTCGACAATGTACAAGTTATAGTAATATATTGCAATGTCTTACATCTCAAATTTCGACAATATACAAGTTATAGTAATATATTGCGATGTCTAACATCTCAAATTAGGACAATATACAAGTTATAGAAATATATTGTGATGTCTCACATCACAATTTTGACGATATACAAGTAATAGAAATATATGGCAATAACTTCTTTACATCGCAAGCTTTAATAACCTGACACTCTGTGTTAGTCAACATTTGCAAGGATTTACACAGTGCAATAGAAAGATCACACAGGTAATTGCAACTTCCTATAACCTTTTACTGAGGTGACTGGAGGAAGAAAGGAAAGAAATGCTGATATGAAATGTTTATGCAGAGTTTAGACTGACTAACACATCTAACCCTGATTATCTGTTTCACAGGTCTCCACCACCAAGGTGTGTTCAGAGTTTCAGGAGCGCAGGTGGAAATCAGCCAGTTCAAGAACATATTTGAGTCCGGTATGTCTTTCCTTATTTACATTGTACAGTTTCAATGGAATAGATGATTTAAATAATGCGAACACAGATAGTATATTTAAATAACGCAGGCGCAAACAATAGATTGCACAGTGTATTGCCACGGGAGCTGAGTGGTCTCGAGGCATGGTGTCCGACTCGAATGCTGGAGGTCCTGGGTTCAAATCTGGGTGAGATTTTCTTCACATGGATTTATAGTAATTTTCCCTGGTCTCTGGGTAGTATGTTCAGATGACCGTATAAATTGTTTCACACATAAAAAATCTCTTGGCAGTTGGAAATCGAAAAGAGTAGCCTAACGGCGCTGTCCCAGCAAAAATTTTGAGTTAAAAATTGACCCAAAAGTATTTCAGGATCCTCACCGGTGCTAGGGAGTTCGTGCACTGGGCTGAGATTCTTTGGACTCAGGCTTGAGTTAGAAGTAGAACGGAGCACTTATGGGTTACTACCCTTGTGCCATGATGTTGATCCGTTGTATAATCCAAGAAACCTGTTTATTGCCAGGTTGTATCTCACCAGGTGCACTACTACAGAGTGAAACCAACATATAATGAATCCCTTTCACTGAAATACATAAATCACATTATCAAGTTAGACTGTACATCTCCTGCACTGGAAGTTCAAGATCAACCATGTGCTTGTCACGATAGCCTCAAATTTATCATATAATTTTTTTTGTGTCATCCCTATTTTTGGCATCACTTTTAATAGCTAAAATGTAGCTGTCGGGTTCAGTCATGAACAATACAACAAAATATTGACAACATGTAAATCTGAAATGTTTTTTCATTGTTTTTAACCACAGGGGAAGATGCTTTAGCTGACGTCATGGATGCCAGTGACATCAATTCTGTTGCAGGGGTCCTCAAATTATACTTCAGGGAGCTGAGAGAACCACTGTTTCCTTTGCATCTGTTTGATGCACTAGTAGAGTGCGCAAGTAAGTTATATCACATTTTATCACCAGTACCTTGTAAACTTTGGAGTGTTGTATATTTTTAACTCCTCATCCCTTTCTGCTGCAGTTTATAAAAGGGCCGTTCAATTGGCAGCCCCGAGGCCAAATCTGGCCCTAATGTGGCCAAAGTGTTCCAGTTGGCTTTTTACAAATTTCTTTTTAGTATTTCTTGTTTCATTCATAGTCTTTCCAGAACCTTTTTATTTCTTTTCACCTTTCTCTAATGCATTCCCATTTAATGTATGTCAGTTAGTTTCCTTAAGCATTATATATATTTGTGTGTGTGTGTCTATCTGTGTGTATATATATATATATATGTGTGTATGTATGTATGTATATATATATATATATATATATATATATATATATATATATATATATATATATATATATATATATATATATATATATAACATTTTGGTATCTACATATAAAATATGATTACGTGAAATGAATAGTAATTTTCTTATTTCAGGGGAGAAGGAGATGCCAAAACGAGTTCAGAGGATCAAGGATTTGTTGTCTAGTATAAATAGGCCAATTTGGATAGTAATGAGATACCTGTTTGCCTTCCTCAACCAGTGAGTATGTGGGGCACATGTCACAGCGTCTGTTTCATTATATTTTTAACAGTTCTCAGGCACTGAATTAATGAGTTGAATGCACTTTTTGTTTTCAATAGACCAGCCATAAATGGGTACCAGGTAAAGTCTTGGGAAGAAAAGGTGGCTGGCATGATGTAGATCACATTACTCACCAAATGCTGATTGGTCTATAAAATCAAGGTCCAGCATAATATGCTTCAAGGTGTGCAAGTTTGAGGTTTGAGTCTTGAACAACGGATCAACATCATGGCACACGGGTAGTAACCCATAAATGCTCCCTTCTTCTTCTAACTTAAGCCTGAGTCCGAAGAAGCTCAACTCAGTGCACAGGCTCTGTAGCACTGGCGAGGATCCTAAAATACTTTGGGTAGATTTTTTACTCCAGATTGTGTCCGGGCAGCGGCGTTAAGCTACTCTTCGATTTTCAACAGCCAATGGATTTTTTTTTACATGTACGACAATGCACACGGGCATCAGATCTCACTACTCAGAGACCAGGGGAAATTATTATAAGTCCAAGTCCACGTGAAAAAAATCTCAAAAGCTCCTTTAATTTACCTGGACTTTTTTTTTTTTTTTTACTCAGATCCTTAGCCTTGATTAGCATCATCTGTAGGGGGGGGGGGGGGGGGGGGGGGGGGGGGGGGGGGGTAGCTCCAACAGACAAAGCTCTGCTTTTCTGATCCAGCAGCTTCTGCAGGAAGCTCTGTTTCAAACGATTTGGTCTTACCTTTCCATTCAAGTAAACACAAGACAGCCCAAGAGCAGGATTGTGCCTCATAAGCGAGACATGGTCTCTGCTACACTACCCCCCTAGACTTTGTGTTATGGCAAAGAGGAACTTCATTCTTGGACTAGTATTGGCTGTTCTTCCCCTGCCTCTCTGTAGCACAATGAAACACTGTTATCTGCAAGATGGAAAGATGCCAACAGTGTCTTGCATATGTGTGTGTGTAAACGCACAGACACAGTTCTAGAGAGAGAAAAAAATGTATGCATGCTACAGCGTGTGCAGGCACACGTGCGCACGCATGCACACACACCCACACACACAGAGAGAGAGAGAGAGAGAGAGAGAGAGAGAAGGAAGGAGAGAGAAATCTATGTGAAAATTGCAATACTACCACATATATGCAGAGGTGACCATGTGAATAAAAGTTATCTTTGACTTTTCATTAACACTGTTCTCAGAAGTCTTTGACATTTATAGAAAGTGGGGGGGGGGGGCGTGGACAAGCATGTCATAAAAGATGGCTAATTAAAGGGTTGTTGTACTTAAGGGTGTGTTTGGCCAAATGGCAGAGGTATCCCAGCTTAGCTGTAAACCACAACACAGTGTGTTTACTGACTGCCCTTGTAAGAATCAGTGAAGAAGAAGAGGACGTTGATTAGAGTGTCTAGAAGAATTGTCATTTATGGCTGATTGTGTTTATAGAATGTCTTCATGTATGCCTTTGTTGTTGTTTTGTGTGTGTGTGTGTGTGTGTGTGTGTGTATGTATAGAAACGAGGAAAACACTGTATCAGTGAATTTTTTTAGGGAATTATTTTTCGTCTGTTTTACAAAGTAACTACAATAGAATTATTTGAATTATTTAAAGTCATCTGGTTATTTACTGGTACTGTATTATGCTGAACAAATGAAGAAAGCAAGAATTGACGTATTTGCACTCAGGACATACCCACACATGCTCACTTACTTTCTTCAATTGCCAGCGAAAAGTTGACATGTATTGTTTAAAAGCGTTTATTTAAAATAATTTTTTTTTTCAGAATTGTGCATCAGCTAATGTTATGTTTTCATTAGTATTTTAATTTATGGATTTCTTTTTACAATGATTCAAAGTTATCCATAATTTATCAGTTGGATTGATCACTTTATAATCTATGACTATTGTACATTTGAATATGTTAGGCTGAAAGGGTTGATATCACAGCCTAGCTTTATACCACAAGAAAACTTTTTAATGGTTTTTTGTAACTTTCTACAGTTTGACAGAGTACAGCGATGAGAACATGATGGATCCCTACAATCTGGCAATCTGCTTTGGACCAACTCTGCTGCCGATACCACCTGACCGAGACCAGGTGACATTCCAGTCAAGTGTCAACGAGATAATCAAAATCATTATTGTTCATCAAGAGGAGATCTTCCCAAATGATGGAGGAGAAATCTATGAGAAAATGCTGCTTGACAGGTTAATATCATATTATTAGGTTTAGTTTGGGGAGGGCCCCTTTTATTGCATTTTTTGGGTCTCTTCAGTGAAGTGATTAAGCCATTTGCCTCGCGCTCTGAAGGTCTTGAGTTTATTTCACTGCTGCAGTTTCTACAGAGATCCCTGGGGATCTTCACTGAAGCTACGGAGTTTGTGCTTTTTGTAATGCTCTTGGCAGGTGGGTAGCTGTTCTGCCAAAGGAGACTGAACGGTATGAGAGAAAATCCAGTGCAGTGAAGTCGATCCTCTCGACTTTAACCGTTTTTTTAAATTTATTTTATTTTGACCATACATACCAGGACACGCTGGGTTGAAAGGAAATAAAAGAGCTGACAGACTGGCTGTGTCTGCAGTGGTTAGGGGAGGAGAAAGTATGGACAGGGCAGGCGTAATGAATGAGCTGTGTTCCAGAGACTATAGTCCAGCGGTTCTCAACCTGCAGGTCGCGACGTTTTTGTGGGTCGAACGACCCTTTCACAGGGGTCACCAAAGACCATAGGAAAACTCATATTCACTGAAGTTATGATGTAGCATTGGAAATAATTGGAGGGTTGGGGGTCGTCACAACATGAGGAACTGTATTACAGTGTCACCTCATTAGGAAGGTAGACAACCACTGATGTAGACAAAAGAGTCAGAGACGGTGAATCGCCTGCTGGAAATGGGTGTAAGAGGAGAATGAATAAACCAAAGAAAGAAGATACGCCAATCAACTCGTCAGCCAATCAACTCGTCAGCCTATCAACTCTTCAGCCAATTAACTCATCAGCCAATCAACTCATCAGAATGGAGACACTGAGAGGGCTGCTACTTATGAGGACAGAGCACAAATGGGTTGGACTGATGTGCTGTGGTGTCAGTTTGAACAAGTAACAAATAACAATATTGCACATGAATATCTTCTCAGGATAGATAATTACACATATTTAATTTCTAGCCATTACTTCAATTCTTCTTTTCATTCGTTTGTTTCAAGTGAGTTGTCTTTATCAGCAATTTTGTCTGTCATAAAAATTTCACTGTTATTTTTAGCTCACTCAGTTGTCCTTAGAGTTTACTTTCTATTGCTATTGTTTTTGTCCAAAAGGTTTGCCCTAATGTGTTATATTCAGCCCCCACTGTACCTCCAAATCGCTCCAAGGGCAGAATGTTAGACGGGCCTGCGTGCCCAATTCCTAACCCTTTAAAAATAAAGTTTGTTCGTTTCGTTCGTTCGTTTGTTCGTTCCACTCTACTTTCAACCGACCCCCCCCCCCCCTTTCCCCAGCTTTACCTCCATCCATCTCTGCTATACCTCCAGGCTACTTACTCCACATTACCTCCATCCAACCTGCTCCACCTTCACTTTAGCTAACTCCATCTAACCTCCAACCTATTCCGCCTTACTCCTAGCCCACTCCACCTTACCTTTAACCCACTCCACTTTACTCCTAACCCATTCCAATGTACTTCTAACCTATTTCACCTTTATTAAACCCCTACCATATCTGTGACACTATCACCTATCTTGTTTTTTGTTGCAACAGTGTTGTAACATGTTGTCTCAGGTGAATGTCTTTTTTTACTTTTAATTTGCAAATTGTCTGTTTTTAAATATTAATTTTGCGTCATATTTTCCAGCGTTTCAATTAAATCGTTTCAGTTACGGTTCCATTGCCCCATTTTGGGGTTTAAAATTTTTTTTACAAAAAACAAAAACAAAAACACTGTCCCACAACAAGAAAGTCCTAAAAGGTGACTCATGAGGGATTTTACCTAAAGCAGATCAGGTCAGAGCCCTTTGGGAACATGTAGCAAAGTCAGAAGAGAAACTAGATTATTTGGGCTGGAGAGAATTATTCATCTGTGTGTGACCAGAGGTTTCGGCTGGCAACCTACACTCAGTGGAAAGGCAAGACCGGCATACACCCAGACTATGACCGGCACACAGTTAACTTTGAAACTCTGCGCTGGCTGCTGAGGATAGGGACAGAGCGTGTATGGGAAAGCCCCGAGTGCTTTGATGTCAATTCTTTACTCAACTCGGCTTTGCCTAAATTGGATGTATTGAGCCTTATTTAGTTTTATTTTTAAAAAAATATTTTTTAAAATTCTTTTAAGAATATATCTAACACATTGCCCATGTCCTTCAGCAGACGTGACAGTGTTGATGCAATAGATGAAGATGATGAAGAGACCAGCTCGTTACCAAGTGATGAAGAAGGTGAGTCATTGTATAAGGCACGCATATATTAAATTTAGAGAGGAGCAGCTGACCAAATGTTAGGGTTTCTTTCAGGAAAAATTTTTTTTTTTTAAACGGAAAGTATATCATAATATAACAAACACAAACAAAACATGAACACTGCGGCTATGGAGCCTTCATCAGCACATACATAAATCAAACAACATCACACAGACAGACAAAATCAGTTAGCTTAGTATCTCGAGGCAGCAAGGTTGATGTGTTGCCAGTAGACTGATGAAGCACATGGGACAGGAGAATAAATAGCCCTGGAGAATGCCACTTCAGGAAACCCACATTCCACTCGTCAGTAATTTGATGGGAATAAAACCTTAACTGGTGACTGCTCTAGCTGTATGCCCCTAAATCCTCATGCTCTACACCCCACCCTACGCTACCCTAAAAAGTGGTAAATGATGGTAGTAAAGTAAAAAAAAAAAAAAATACAAAAAAAGGGAAGGTCCCTTTTTCACGCCTATAGAGGTAATGGGAATATAGGGCTAGACCTATATTTTTATAGACCAATCGTCACTTGGTGGGTGATGTGGTCAGCTTCACACCAGCTGCCTTTACTTCCCAGGACTGAATTTGGTACCCACTCAAGGCTATGTCAACCTGGAAGTCAAGGTCATTTTATTTTTAAAAGTGCGTCAGGGTGCTAATCCACAACCTTCCAATCCGCAGGCGGGCATCCAGCCACCTACGCCACTGCGACTCCTGATGCTAGTAAAGGCATTAAAATTTTTTTAACTATTAAATGCATAACTTAGGAAAACGTTGGTTTTGAATCTGCATTGTCCCCATGTGCATTTCAGGGCCCCATTTCATGGGAGGAAAAGAATAGACCCACTGCCTCCTTCACAAGCATGTCAAGCAAATCAACTAATTGGGGGTATATCCTTCAGATTTGAAATGCATCTGCCTGAGAGGCAAGGAACCAACAGTTTGCGCACAAATAAGTCAGTCTGTAAAATGGATGTGCACGCAAAACTCTACTTCTGAAACAAGACCAAAGTCCAGAGTGGATGAACAACCGCAACTTTTCAGCCGAAGTTTTGAAGCCAGTGAATGCTTAGGAGAAGAAGAAAAAGAAGAATCTGCTTTGCAGACCCTGGATACAAATCGATATCCAGGCAGATTTGTATAATTGACTGAGGGCTTCCAAAGTGACCCAGTTAAACTTGGTACCAGGATATGTTTTGGGAAGTAAAGGCTGCCAGAGTGATATATCTAACCTTAACCCTAACCCCAGCCCTAACCCTACCCATAGGTCTAGAAAACTTTGTGTCTAGCACTGATGTGCCAGTGTTGTGAAAGGAGGCATGGTAAAATATAAACAAGAAACAGTTTTCATCCGAGCTACATGATAAGTGCCAGACAAATACAGAAAAACAACAAGACTGGGCGACAACCTGGTATAGGTGCGATGACAGAAGAAGAAGAACAAGAAAAGGGTTTTTCTTTTTGTTTTATCAAGCTGGCATTTCCAGTTTTAAAAATAACTGAAAAATATCATTAGGATGCATGACAAAAGGAATAACTCACAAAAACATGGACATTTTTCAAGCAAAAACTTTAAAAAACAATATAGAATTAAGCTCTCAAGAACCCTGTCATGCCAATACCGCATCAAGCATATGCGATGCTAGACACATTTTTAAAGCCCAATTTTAAAGACCTTCTGGCTAGAGGCAGAGAATTGTTGAGGAGCGACTGTCTGAATGGATAAGAATGCTGGGCTTGAATGCCGGGGTACCAGATTTGAATCCTCACTAAGGTTACGATTTTTCTATAAAATAAAATCCTAATCTGTAGAGTCCGTGGCGACTGCACTAGCCTTGCGCCCCTAAATCCTCAAGCTCAGAGACCTCCCTGCCTACATCACAGAAGTGGTCAGTACAGGCAGTGATTGCATTTTTGAAAAACATTTTTTTTTTAATAACTTTAATGACAGAAGTTTTTCTTTTCTAGCCAAACATTCTTATTTTTGCTTGTTTGCTAAAAAAGATTTCATAGGCAATCACAAACCGGAGTCATGAGCAAATGTCTATGAATTTTCCCACATATCACATTTACTAGTAAAACTATTGCACTTATTTAATCATCCTTTCTTTCTTATGCTGTTTTGTTTTTCTCAGAGTCTGTATATGGTAAGATAAATTCTGCTCACTTAACTGTGCACACAAGTTCACCCACTAATATTTACATATGTTGTTTCTTTGTTAACTGTTTATAATCCACAATCACACAATTTTACCTGTCACCGTGTTTTTTTTTAGTAACCATGGAATTTTCATAATTTTGGGAATGCCTCCATTGTGTAAAATTTATTATTTATTGACCGTTTTGTTCATCAAAGCAATGTTTCCCCATTGTAAATTTTAACAAAAAAGACACAAACAGTAGATTGCACAATTTATTACCTGGCATATTTTGCTGTATCTCATCCAGTGCATACTACAGTAACAATTACATAAATGAAGCAGATAATTGTTGATCGTTGTTGAATTTGTACTTCAATTATAAAGGATTCGCTTATCTGCTTCATTAATGTATTGTTACTGTAGTATGCACCTGACGAAACGCAGCAAAATATGCCATTTTGATCATGTCTATTTTACTTATCAATTTATTTTATACTCACCAGTTTGTTTTTACCCATGCTCATTCTGCTACTTTTCTTCTGTGTTCACCCTTTAAAAAAAAAAAGCAGTTGGCACATTGTGTTGTTGTTTACAGCTAGGCTGTGATATCCACACCTTTGGGCCCAACACATCAGATTCTGCCAACCCATAATTAGTGACCTTGTTAGTGGGTTTGTTATTTGTTTGCACTCAAAGTGGAACCCTAGAACCCACAAAGGGAATTATTACTCACATGTGTCAGTTTTCTTATTTTATTTCATTGCTTGTAGAGTCTCTTCACTGTTAAGGTGCCTAGTTTATGATTTTTCTGTGGTACACTCATGATGGCTTTTTTTTTTTAAGCCTACCCATGACACTTAATGCGTATGCTTCTAATAATGCCAGTTTGTCCTACCCGTAACAGTTCAGTGCAATTTTTATGCAAGTTTCCCAGTCATAGCAACCCACTGCCATTTTTATGAAAGTTACCCACTTATTGCAACCCGCTGCCATTTTTATGAAAGTTGCCCACCCATAACAACCCACTGCCATTTTTTAAGAAAGTTGCCCACTCATTGCAACCTGCTGCCATTCTTATGAAAGTTGTCCACTCATAACAACCAACTGCTATTCTTATCAAAGTTGTCCACTCATAACAACCCACTGCCATTCTTATGAAAGTTGCCCACTCATTGCAACCCACTACCATTCTTGTGAAAGTTGTCCATTCATAACAACCCATGCCATTCTTATGAAAGTTGTCCACTCATTGCAACCCGCTGCCATTCTTATGAAAGTTGTCCACTCATAACAACCAACTGCTATTCTTATCAAAGTTGTCCACTCATAACAACCCGCTGCCATTCTTATGAAAGTTGTCCACTCATTGCAACCCGCTGCCATTCTTATGAAAGTTGTCCACTCATAACAACCCACTGACATTCTTATGAAAGTTGTCCACTCATAACAACCCATGCCATTCCTATGAAAGTTGTCCACTCATTGCAACCCGCTGCCATTCTTATGAAAGTTGTCCACTCATTGCAACCCGCTGCCATTCTTATGAAAGTTGTCCACTCATAACAACCCGCTGCCATTCTTATTAAAGTTGTCCATTCCTAACAACCTGCTGCCATTCTTATAAAAGTTGTCCACTCATAACAACCCACTGCCATTCTTCTGAAAGTTGTCCACTCATTGCAACCCGCTGCCATTCTTATGAAAGTTGTCCACTCATAACAACCCACTGCCATTCTTGTGAAAGTTGTCCATTCATAACAACCCACTGCCATTCTTATGAAAGTTGTCCACTCATTGCAACCCGCTGTAATTCTTATGAAAGTTGTCCACTCATAACAACCCACTGCCATTCTTATGAAAGTTGCACACTCATTGCAACCCGCTGTAATTCTTATGAAAGTTGTCCACTCATAACAACCCGCTGCCATTCTTTTAAAGGTTGTCCACTCATAACAACCCGATGCCAATCTTATGAAGCTGCAGATCCTCTGTAGCAACTGCAGGGCCCTTCTATGTATAAATCTTTCTTCTTTTGTCAAAATCTGCTTGTGCCGCTAGGCGTCGCAGTCTATCAGATGATCGGCAACCGAGCCAGGGCGCGCTCAGTCGCTTTATTGCTATGTGATGCCGTGATGTTATGAAGTCTCAAGTTGTCCGTGACTCCTTCAATCCATCTTCTTCTTGGTCTTCCCCTGCCTCTTGGTGTTTTGATTTTCATGTTGTATGCTCTTGATGCTGGCATCGTTGGTTCCATTCTCATTAGGTGACCAAACCATTTCATTCTTTGCTTCTCAATAAATTTAACGATGGGTATGGTTCCAATAGTTCTTGTAATCACATTGTTTCTCACTCTATCTCTTCTGGTTTTATTCGCAGCCATTCTCAAACATCTCATTTCACAGGTGGTTAGTCTTCTCTCGTGTTCTTTTGTTAATGTCCAAGTCTGACATTGATAACCTAAATGTATAAATCAACATATCCTAACATTGTATTTGGTGTAGTGTTATGCATCCAACAGTATTGGTATTGTATGGCAAATTATCACAGAAATGACTGTAACATATTTGTTAATTAACCCTCATGTTTTATAGTCCATGAAAAAAACTTCACAAATCTGACAACACTTAGACATGAGAGTAAAGTTTATGTATCCAAATCTGACTTGAACCCATGAGAAAAAACCTGTGTTTTAGATTGCATGCTTTTGTTGCTATGAGTCCTTATAATTCACAGATGTTTAGATTTTTTTTTTTTTTTTTGCAATTATTTTTCATTTCTTTTTAATCCAATTAAAATGCAACACTATTTGTAATGTAATATATTCCAGACATACAATACTATAGAGCACTGTGTGCTAGAGTGTAGGAAATATGAAAACCAAACAAAACCATTGACTAACCTATGATGATGGGAAACTTGCTGCACATAGACAGCTCCAGAGAGCTGCCTGGCAAGGTCGAGCAATTTATTACTAGGATTAAAATCCAATTATAGAAGGGTAAAGAATGCACATGCCATCTTTGAGGAAGTTTCCATTAAGGGATAAAATTGAGAAGAATAATCAGTTATTGCACACTAAAGAAACAATATATCCACCACTCTAAGAACTAAATTAACTTCAAGTATCCAAATTATTAACTCGAGGGTTCAACAAATATTTTTGAAAAATGTTTACTACTGCTACTACACTGTTTTTAACTAGAAGAATGGGTTTCGGAGTTAAAAAACCAATTTTTAACTAACTTGATTCTGCACATTATTTTGCTTCCAGAGTTACGTAACCTTCCCCCAGCAGTGGTGCTTTGAGCATATGATGTTAAACTCATATTTTTAAAGACCAATAGGCACTTGGGTATATGGTCATTATCATGGAGACTGCCTTTACTTCCTGTAACATTACCTATTACCCATTATAAGCAGGGTTGATCTGGGAGCTAAGTTTTTCTTTCAAAATCCACCTAGGGTGATTGGTGTTTTGTTTGCACTCAGTGGCTGTATACTCTGGCAGAAAGTTCTCATTGTTTGTCCACTTCTGGACTTTAGTTTTTGGTCCAGAACTTTTATGTGCACATCTGTTTTACAAATCTGGCTTCTCTTTTTGCAGACTGTTGGTTCCTCCTTTCTCAGGCAGATGTACTCCGACTTCAAAGGACACACCCCGAATTTGTCAACTGTGATGACATGCTTGTTTGGTCTATTATTTTCTTCTCCCAAAATTGGGCCAAAGAACCCCCACAGGGGTGGTGTGTGTTTGAACCCAAGAACTTCAGGCTAGTCACTACACTGTCATGGCACCCCATTTCTACTCTGGCTATATTTTTTTTATCAAACCTAGAAAAATTGCACATATTGAGAGAGTTTGTGCACTGAGCTGAGATTATGATTCTGCTGTGTTCACCAGCAGGAGATAGAATAGTTGATAACAAGTTTGACATAGTAATGATGAGCTCAAATCATCAGTCTCCTCTTCTTCATGTTCACCGGCTGTAAACTCCAGTGGAAAGTTCTGGTTGTTCATCCACTTCTGGATCTTTAGTCTTGTTCTGAACCTGAGTTTTGCTTGCACATCAGTTTTTCATATCTTGCTTTGTATGCAGACTGTTGGTTCCTTGCCTCTCAGACAGATGCACTCCAACTTTGAATGAAACATTCCCAAATAGTTGACTTTGATAATATGCTTATTAGAGAATCAGTATGTCTGTTCCTTTTTTCCCCTCTGTCTACAATGGGGCCTTGGAACCACCATGGAGAGAATCATCAGTAAATCCTTGTGTGTATGCACAACAAACAAACAAATGAACTAGTTTTTCAGAAGGTCACACACTGGTCTTTCAGTCTGCACTTCCAAGCACTCACCTTCCATGCAGTAATTTATTTTTTTAAATTTTTATAAATAAACAGAGGGGGAACCTTTAAGGTCGTTAAATATTATGAATTAATCGGGTAACATAAAGTATATTGATTGGCACTCATAGAAAGAATTAGAAAGATAGAAGAACACACTAGACAACATAAAAATCGAAAGCTATAGTTACCGTACCGGGAATTGAGCCTGTCACCTCCAGACAGTGTCTGCGCCCCGCCATGGATACAAGTGCACTAAGAACATGGTCAACTTATGGTGTCTAGTGTGTTCTTCTATCTTTCTACTTCTTTCAATGAGTGCCAATCAATACACTTTCCGTTACCTGATTAATTCATAATATTTGTGTAATTTTGCATGTTTTGCTTATTTAGCAATAAACCAAACGTGAATATTAATTTTTTTACAAATTTTAAGATGGCTCTATACTACTGCAGTTGAGTAACTTTTTTATCAGTGTGAATCAAAGGCAGTGACAGCATGACCCCCCAAAAAAAAGTTGTAGAATTCAGAGAGTTAGGTAAATGAGAAAAATTATAAAAAAGACAGTTGTGAGCTAGATTTGCTGCAATACTGTTTATTCCAACATTTTATCTGAGCAGTTCATTGAATAATACAGTTTATTTTTAAAACTAAAGTATTC